GTGGAAAACAAGATGGCCGCTATACAAATTCTAAAGAGTACCTATAAATAACTCGGCAAATGTTGGGAGAGTTTGTTGGTGCTCAAACAAATGTTGTAGGGACCGACAATGGTCAACTGCTGGCGATAAAAAAATCAAGATGGTGGATCTAAGATGGCAATCAAAAACCAACAATGACTCGTTAAATAAAATAAACAGACTTAGAAACATGTCCAATTTAAATACTTTTAAAGAAGGAATTAAATTTAAATTAAATCAAACCCATCAATTTATTACGTAGGTACCATAATTTATACGATAAAAGCTTGTCGCGAAATTTACCTAATTTATAAAAAAAACATTATGCGGACCGCGAACTCAAAAAGGCCGTGGGTTCGAATCCGCCATTCTACTACTGGCGTGAACTGTAACACAAGAATTTAGTTGGGTGTTTTTTATAGCATTGTTAATATTCTTTAAAAAAATTAAAAGAAACACAAAACATTATACCTGTGTATGTACATAAACAAGATTACAATATATAATTCGATATTGACATAAGTAGATAATTCTAAGAAACAATTAATGTTTTTTTTATAAAATAGGTAAATCTCGCTACTTATTTTTATATCATTTAAAATCATATATAATTGTGTTATATAATAAATTGATGGGTTAAATTTAATTTAAAGTTAATTTTTTCCTTTTAGAGCGTTTAAATAAAAGCTTGTTTTTAAATAAAGTGTTTTTTTACTATTAATTTATTAATATATATTTTTATAATGTCATTTATAAGAGGCTAAAGCAAATATTTTTATAGGATAGGGTGACAAACGAGCACACACTCCACCCGATGGTAAGTGGTTGCTGCGGCCCATAGATATCTACATCTATCCTTGATTACAAATCAAAATGCAGATGCGTTGTCACCCGTGAGGACCAAGATGGAATGCCTCTTTTCCAGTAAAAAGGGTCTCCGGTTCTCTACACTCACCATACGAAATACAGCAAGCAGCATTAAACTACTATTTGACGCTGGTATTCTGTGAGAGCGTGGTCCTTCCCCGGCCGAGCCGACCCATTCGTGCTACAACTATACTACTAATATAACTGCAGCGTGGCTTTACCACATATAAAAATGAAAAACATGAAATCAATAAATAGGACGTGACTTTTTCTGTAATAGCTTAACTAAGCTTTAGTTTACCTATACAAATTAATAAAATTCAAGTTTTTGTTTTTAATATCAAAATAACAGCTTCTTATGAAATACATATGAAAGTATATACGGTAGTTACGACAATTTTTTTTCTGTCTGTCTGTCTGTTTGTTCCGGCTAATCTCCAAAATGGCTGGACCGATTTTGACGGGATTTTCACTGGCAGATAGTTGATGATATAAATAGTAACTTAAACTTTCGAGAAATAATTAGGGTTCTGTGCAAAAAAATCAAAACCCATGAAATTCAATCGTAATAAACTGATCCACCACGCGGGCCAACTTGGACAACAGCTAGTAAAAATATATAAACTAAAAAATACATTAAACACATAGGTTACATTGGCACTTTTACCGTTAGAACCTGGATGACCGAGCTTTGCTCGTTTTTTTGAAATTACATTTAGATACAAATTAGATACGGATGAAACATGAATAATATTTTTTGATCTTATTGATATAATAGAAAAAACTGAACTGGTTATCTGAATAAAAATCATGAGTGCATTTAGTTTAATTAAAATTTTCGTATTTTTAAAAAATGCTAAAAAAAGGGCTCGAAATAATAGATTGTCTCACAAAAAAGGGAACTTGTAAAAAAAAAGGAAAAAAGTCGGACCGAAGTCGGGACGCGAACCAAGGCATTACGATTTCGCGACCACTCGATATCCACTTTATATATATAATCTTATTAAAAAATAAAATAAGAATTGCTCGTTTAAAGGTATAAGATTAATCAAGTTGTTATGTCTTCAAAAAGGCCAGGGAATTTGAAAGAAAGGTTTAACCATTACTGCATATCTAATAATAATAATGTCCACCAGACCGAATTTCGGCCACGGCGGCTTGTCTCAACGGAGGATAGCCATCGGCGCAGGACAGAATTATAGTGCCCAAGTGTATGCGCAAGCTCAGGCGCACTCTCTATTCCCTTACTCATTATCCGATGGGACGATAAACCGACAAGACCGGAGAGAGATCAGGCGCAGGACCGACGGCTTTACGTGCTTTCCGAGTTACGGGGGTGAGACACCGCCAACTTCCTGACTCCGGGCAGCTACTGAGAATTTCTTTACAGAAAAACTCAGTAATTGATTTTTTGGCCCGACCCCGGACTCGAACCCAGGACCTCATGATTAGCAGTCGCACTACTACAACCACTAGACCAACGAGGCAGTTGAATTGAGTTGAGTTGAGAGCTGCATATCTAAATAGTTACTCGTAACAGACTCCTCTGTGGAATCGTTTACTACCGGCAATCTTTCCGGACCGATACTACTTAGGGAAGCTTGCCCCTATCTAAAAGACTGGCCACGCACCTGCTATTCCCCCGGTGTTGCAGTTGTTCATGGGCGGGGGTAGTCATTTACCAATAGGTGGGCCACAAGCTCGTTTGCCCCCTTTTCTTAAAAAAATATCTAAACATGAATATATGATTAAGAATTTATAGAAAATTATAGGTTTATGTAGACCGCAAAGTTCATTACATTTGAAACAAAATAAATGCGTCGATCTAATAGTCAGGACCTATGGAACATAGACTAGACTGTTCTTTACTGCTGACCTTATTGGAAAAGTTCCATGGATGTATTGTGATTCTATCAGCTAATGCGATAGCCAATTTGCCAGTCAGGTCGTTTAATTAAGGCAAATTCTCTCAATAATTGAAGTCAATGCAAAAGCCTTTTTGTAAGGATAAAAGTAAAAAGAAACGAAAGTTAAAGTGAAAGGTGAGGGAAATACGGTAATAATGACGACATAAAAGAGATGATATAATAAAATCCCTTAGATTATACATTTTATATATATAATACGATTATTATCACCAATTTGTGTTACTTAATTTAATAAAGTAATAGCTTTTTAACCCTTACCCTTTAAATTAAAAACAAAATAGCTTTACTATTTTTATTTATTTTATTTATTAAATAGAACTCCACGTTTGGATCAATTCAAATAAGGCAGCCGCTTGGCTTCACAGACAGAGGTCACGTCGCTAGGCGCTCTGCCTAACGTTTGTCATTTATACGTGGATAGTGCACTGTTATAGTCATAGATATAATAATTATAGTGTTATCGACAAGTCTTAGTCCTTTAAAAGGTAAAATATTTTATTATTATTTTTGATGGCCGACAATAAATTATAATTTAGACGTGTTGCAAAATAAAACTTATTTTTAGCAAATAAAAGAAAACGAAAAATTTTGATAACTTAGTTAAATGTTTGGTAAATTTATCTTATACTAGCTAGATAGCTATGCATGACTATGATCCCGCATCAAGGTTAGTAGTGCAATAACAAGGTTTGTGTGCTTACTAATTTATAGTTTAACTTCAGGCAGAGTAAGAAAATTCAAAGGGCTGATGAGATGAACGGAAAAGTTCAAAGTAATGACATTTTGTCTTATTACTTTATTTTAGGTACTAATATTGTCTTTATTTTTAACTACGGGAGCTAAAATGTACAGTTAATGAATGTAAACCATAAGATGATTGAAATTTCTAGAGCACAGTACATATTACAGTAGATATTAATAAAGCAAAAAGAGTTGGCCTCCATTAAAATGCAGAATTTGTGTTGAGAATTTAAAGCTCGAAATAGTGCTCTAAGGCGATAATAAAATGAACATTAATCATCTAAGAAAGTATAGCAGGAACTATATCTATTGGTGCTGGATATATCCAGCTTCATATTGTTCTTGTCTACGGATATATCCCATCGTACATTTGCGGTGTATGAAGCAACGCTTTTTTTTTTATGATGGGTAGACTGATTACATTCTTTTTTTTGGTAATTAATTTGCTAATAGTGTTATCAAACGGCGGAGCCTTGTACGGTTGATGCTACGAAAGAAGAGGTAGAACATGTAAAACTCAGCGGAAATATGTCGTCTTAAGGAATACCAAGGATAGCCGTAATAACAGACGCATGTTGAGTAAACGTGCATACGGCATCGTCTAACGCTGCGACAATTGGTGACGAACACACTAAAGAAATCCTGTACTGTGAGATGAATAATAAACAAAAAAAATATTCTGTCACATGTTTCCGATCAGAAAACAAAGGAATTTTGCTACTAGATCATATGTCATTCAATAAATTTTGTAGGTTCTACAGCTAAAAAGTCTTTGTCAGATCTTGGACCTATGCTTATAAATACTTGACCTTATAATACAAACGGCGAAGCCCTTAGAACAGAAACTTTGTTGAAAAGAGCGCTGTTTTACAGACTGCAAACTCGCTCTTGAACACTAGAAGAAAATTTGACAACTTCATGGTTTGCCAGAGTTTTGAAGCGGCTTAAAAATACCAACTTTGCTCCCTTTGTTCAACAATTACTGTGTGTATTTTATTAATTTAATAATAATTCGAATTAGAAAGGGCTTTAAATGTTAACATTTATGACTGTAGTTAACATATTATATACCACAATTTTTCATTTATAATTGCTAGTTCAGACGGTAAATACGAACTCTGGTAGTGAAATTCCCATGATCCGATTATAATATGCAACCCAAAGAAGCAATCAAATATACCAAGTTCAGGGCCAATTACTAACTGGTCAAAATATTTGTATATTTGCCCGTGGACAGGCGGCGGTAAAATTAAATTTCAATTCACAAAAAATACGATCAGTTCTGGAAGCAAGACATCGGGGGAATTTTAGTAACTTTTTTCAATAACTGCTGAATGCTGTTGAATCTAAGATATTATAGCTCACATGTAAATAAAAACATACCAATGAAATAATGTGTAAAAGTAAACATTTTCCTGTTTTTTTTTAAATAGATTCCTCACTCACACAAGCACTTGCAATCGGTACATGTACGGTAACACAGCCGCAAGCCCACTCAGGCTCGTGGCGCCCTATACAAAATTATTAGTAATAAAAAAATTCGCAGCTAATTTTCAAATTTACAAATAAGATAAACATTATTATCATGCCAGATACCAAATGCGACTGCAAAGTTTCAACAACTTTTTACTTAATACTTGTAAAGTCCTCATACCAACAAAGATAGATAAACGGAGCGCTGCATACGTTTCAAAGGATGTAAAAACCAAGCCAAAACCATGCTCACCTTATTGCAAGAACACGTGCTCACATACGTGTATGCTTGAAATCACTTGCAACTATTAACATGGTTATAGGCGCATCCATGTGTGCATCCATCAGTAAACTTTTACGGGCTGATAAAGAAAAAAAGAAAAAAGATGTATGCGAGAGTGCGTGTCAAAAAATTGAGGATGTTTTCAGCTTTACTTGAAATGTACGCAGCGTTCTGTCTTTCTTTCTTTGTTTTTATGATCAAGCATATCAAGTTTAGTTAGGTATAATATATACAATATAACGGAAAACTGTTTCAATGTGTGCATGCGTACATTAGCTTGCTATTCAAATATCCAAATTCGAGCATGTCAAAAATGTAACTACGTCCTTAAATGTAAAATTTAGATACACTTTGAAAAATAACCTTGTACTATATTGGAAATATATCACTTAATGATTTCTTAAATTTACGTGAACACTACACATTGAATAAAACTATATTTACGCATTATATCGCGTTTAATAGTTTATTTTACCTTATTTTTAATTCCCAACAATTCGATCGCTTTACAGCACCCATGGTCACGGGGGACTGAGATGTTTGACGTACCAATGTCATTGTTCGCACGTTAGTCTTCAGTTTTTGAATATTAATTTTTGATCCATTTCAAAAAGACCACTCGAAACGTCGGGGAAAAAAAAGTTAAAATAAGCTATTAAATGCAACAAAATCCGTAAATGGAGTTTCATTCAATTTGCTACTTATTAATTTTTGCCGTTCAGATCTTATAAGCTCTTAGCTTAGCTTGGCAAGCGTTTGAAGAAAAGGGGCCACGATGTCGGCTTTGGATCGTATTGGATAATGGACAGAGTATTTTATTTTATTTTATATAGTTTTTTGAATCGGTACACTTTGGAAGCTTATTCAGAGAAACCATCGAGAGAATTCGCTCGCGAAATGGGCGATAAGTAGATGGGAAATATGGATATAAATGCTATCGGCAGGGGCGCATAGTTCAATCATTACATTCTGGAGATAATATTCCAAAAATTTCGTTTTAAACCTGGTTAGAGGAAAATAAAGATATATATATATATAATGATTTCTAAATTTTATTTTATAGTCTGAAGAAACCAATTTGTCCAAACCACTACTGTTCTAGAGAAAATGTTAAAATCTTGTAATTTTCCTAAAATGTCAAAATCTTGAGATTTTCTCTAGATCAATTTTGGGAAGAGAAGAAATGTAAAGATTTTGAGACAGCCGCAATCAGGTTCATTTCTCTTTTTTGCTGGTATAGTGTAATGTTGAACCGAGTCGTAATGGTGGAATTTTTGAAGGCACCCTTTACTCTCCCATGAACACAGCATCGTTTTAGAAAATCTACAAAACCGGTTCGATTAATTGCTACTGTAGGCAACGCGAAAAGTGAATTTAAGAAAAGATGGCGTTACACAACGCGGCGCCTTAAACAAAAATTTGTTAGCCCTTTTTAACTGAATAATCCGTTGGGCCATGTCGGTCACTCTAGTCCTACTGCAGACATCCTTACTGCTAAGTATATCACGCAGAGAAACCCCGAGCATAGCCCTCTCCATAGCTCGATAAGCGGCCTTGAGCTATCTCATACGGCCAGCAGTGAAAGACCACGTTTTATATCCATATGTCAACTGAATAAATACAGTAAAGAAATAGGCTGGAATGGAATTGACAATTAAATATATTTAATATGGCCACTATGAATTTTTAAAGTAATTCCAATAAACTTGAAATATTCCTAAATATTGTTGATGTGTGTATTTACTGCATACATTTGGAAAAAAGAACATGAAAAGAACAAAAAAAAGGAAGATTGAATCGTCTTCGTTGACATCGCAATACAATAGCCAAAGGAAAACTCTTTGAAGTTGTTGCTTCTTAACAAAGAACACAATCGAGGATAGGCTTTGTAATGACAATTTTTATTTTAATTCAACATTTATGAAAATTCGCAGTGGGTTTTATAGAACCGTATTTTACTGTCTCAAAATTTAATTTGTATATTTGTTCCTATTTACAAAAATATATTTATAAACTATTCGAAAATATTATATTTAAATGCGTTAAAATGTTGAAAATTTTGGACTGAATATTCCACAAGCAGTAAGTCACTCATCCTGCCGTGCCGTGCTGTCAATCGTAGTCAGGCTGCCTTGATATGTCAAGTCGTTATTTTCATTTTTCCATTCCATTTTGTAGTACTAAAGTACGCTTCATGCCAAAGTTATAGTCGCTTAGTCTGTACAAATATATATAAAATAACAAGACGTAAAACAGCCAGACCGGCGACGGGAAACTGCATCATGAGTTGTGAACAGGTCTGTTTAAAAGTTACTTCTTACATTTATATTATCTGTACTTATATAGTTTTTACCAGGTTATTTACATATTACTCGTCAGGTAACTTTAGTAGCACTATCGTAGCCTAATTAAATCCTATTCATTCTTAAATATTTCACTCCTCTGCAGTACGTGACGGTATGATGCATCGATGTTTTGATTTGGGTACCATAATATTGATATTCAAAAGCCTTGTAGCGAGCGAATAATGTAACAAATAATATTCAAGATATTAAACGTCATTTTTAGTTTTTTTCTTTATCAGTTATCATATCCGTGATAGAGACCATAAAATATGTATACAAAAAACTTGTTTGATTTTGTTTTTTTCCAAACCAGAGTTACCCTGGCACTATTTGATATATTATTATAATATATAGAATCTAGAGTTATAATCTGCAGTGATAATTATAATTTGAGACGCAAGTACTGTAGAAAATATGCTGTGGCCCGATTCGAGATTTTGAACCTGGACGACATTATCAACAATGGTACTTACGATCATTGGAGGCCCAATACACGAAGTATTGAGCTTCTACCGTAACAGCCTATGAAAGTCAATTGCTGAACATAGGACTACCCTATAGATTGTCTCAAAAGGGTATATTTGCTATAGTTGCCACGCTTGGTAAGCTGGTTGGTACCCGCATTTTTTTAAAATCATTAGGATTAGGAAGACGCCGTTGCCTATCCTGATATGGTTTCCTCTGTCACCTTTTAGGACACCCACGGGATGATATGAGGTAATGGATATTTATGCACCGCCACTACACGGTACACATTTAAATGACCTTCAATAGGTTTCCACAAAGGAAAAAACATTGTCTTACACTACCTGCATCAACGATTTGTGAGTTTCGGTAACTTAATCCTGAATCTAAATGGACATCGCCAAACACTGCGCTTGCTAGAACCATTCTGCCAATTCAACCTGTCTGTTATGATCATTTGGGCTATCGCAATTACTCTTTTTCTTTAGTAGTTTTTCTCACTAAGAAAGTTCCGTCGTTGCTACGTCCACAGTTCGGTAAAAATGATTTTTAGTAGTCCCCTCATACGACCAGAATGACCACGTGTACGGAATCCATAAATCAGCACTGACAACACGCGCTAATTGTATACTTTTGTTTTAACATTTTGAAATAAACAAAATTAAAAAAAAAATACAATTTCTTGTAAAATTGTTAAATGTAGACTTTAAACTAACCAACGTACTCGGCATACGGTACGGCACAGCGTTAGAAACAATGTCACATAATATGTTAGGCTGCCATGCATGTTCATACTCACGCAAAGTACACATTTTAAGAGATGAAACAAACAGGCTTACTAAAATCGTATTTTGCTGCACTGGCGTAAGTAATCGTCACCACAACAACAGTTTACGTAGTAGAGCCATGTTGCAGTTATATTAGTAGTATAGTTGTAGCACGAATGGGTCGGCTCTACCGGGGAAGGACCACGCTCTCACAGAATACCAGCGTCAAATAGTAGCTTAATGCTGCTGTGTTTCGTACGGTGAGTGTAGAGAACCGGATACCCTTTTTACTGGAAACGAGGCATTCCATCTTAGTCCTCACAGGTGACGACGCATCTGCATTTTGATTTGTAATCGAGGATAAATGTAGATGCCTATGGACCGCAGCAACCACTTACCATCAGGTAGACTGTGCGCTCGTTTGTCACCCTATCTTTTATATAAAATAAAAATATTGTGGTCAATCAAATATACAGGACTTTTAACATGACTCTAAAAATGTCTCCAATAAATATGTTAAACATAAATCCCAATAAGCTAGTATGAAAGCAACAATAACAGTATGAGAGTGCCGACTCTAAGCCCTACAATCGCCAGTCAGGTGAGTGCGAGTAAATTTTAAAGTAATGCACAAGTCAGATAGGTCATTCTTGAAAGTTCTTTCCGTAAAACGAAATGTAAATTCCAATAACATATTATATTTTTAACAATCATAAAAATAATATTTTGACATATTGACGTCGTTTTTTAAAAAGTAGTAGAAGCTTACTATATTTTATATTAATGCATGTAGTTTTTGGGCTTCATACCTTTTTAATAATAATAAATTAATATTTCAAGTGGTTTCATGACAAAATAAGTTGTTTCTTATATGAATAAGATACCCTTGATTTCATACGTTAAATGTTTTAGTTTTTCACAATAGGTTCTTTCACCATAAAGGAACATTTATATTAGTATTATAAGTGGAATATTTATAATAGGAATTATTTTTATATTGGTTTATGTGATTTTATGACAAAAATAAAATATTTCTCATCATTCTTATGACTCGGCTCCATTTAACAAGAACTTACAATGCAACTTATGTTCAAATTCAAATCAACAAAACGTATTACTAAATTGGAAAAATATTAAAAAAATCGGAAAATTATGGAAAGTAAAACAAACTATTGGATACCACTTTTTATATAAAAGTAATGAGATGTTTAGAGATTATAACACTAAAAAAGGTCTCTATATAATAAAAAAATTACAGAGATATATATTTTAAAATTTTATTCTAAAGAAAAGGAAGGGCCTTTGCTTCTTGTTTCATTATAAAGGCGTGGTACATGTGAATTATTTAGAGATTAATAGTTTTTTTAAGAAAATGAAATTGTATTTTAGTCTATGAAGCAGATGAACTGCAAGTTAAATCAATGAAACAAGATGATACAAGTTAAAATCACAAAAATAGAAACGTAATAAAACCAAAGACAAAATTTAGTCTTATAAACTTACCAGAAAAGATACTAGCTAGTGCTGCGATAATGAAGCTTAGAGCCACACCAGGCCCTGCAAACTTGCGAGCAACCATACCGGCCACTAAGTACATCCCCGTGCCGACGCAAGATCCGACCCCGAGTGACGTGAGGTCCATGGTGGTTAGACATCGCTGTGGGGAAAAAACTTTTTTAATCTAAACTCTTTTTACGAGAATTTTTTTAAATTTATTTATTAACTTTGTATTGGGTGGTCACCTGTGCTGCGTATGCGTGTTTTGGCAGTCTTTGAATGTCCTCAAAGAATTTTATTTACATCAAAACTTTAAATAGCATTTAACAAAGGATTTACATCGCCCTACGTGGGTATTTTTGTATTTTAATTATAAATCATTTCATGTGTTATAAAAAATTATGTCTTTATATATATAATTGCAGTTTTCATGATTTTTTTCCATATTTTTATTAATCAAAGTAATCATCCATGCAATCGAAGCATCTTTGCCAAAACAGTGGCAGTTGATGCCCTTCTTGAAGAAATCAGCTGGACGGGAGGCAACAAATTCTTCAAAGACATTTTCAAATACCTCTCGCGTATTTTTTTTTTCCAGAAGAAAGATATCCAAATTGTGGAAAAAGTTGAAGTCTGTTTGCTCAAGGTCTGGTGAGTACGACGGGTGACAGAGAGCTTCCAGCCCTCGTAACTTGGAGACCGTCTGTTGTGCAGTATGAAATCGCACGTTGTCGTGCATGAGCAGCGAGGACGAGCGATTGACCAAAGCTGGTTGGAGACGTGCAACCATCTCTATTATCGTGTTCAGGTTTTCACAGTACACATCTGCAGTAGTGCTCATCCCGTTTGGTAAGAAGCTGTGATGGAGCACACCAGTCCTAGAGCACGAAACAGTGAAACCATTACTTTTCTCGAGGTAAGTTTTCGCTTAAGGCATTGTTTAGGTGCTGAATCAGGGCCCAACCAACTTGCTCAGCGCTTGCGATTGTCGAACAGAACCCGTTTTAACCGCAGATAACAATGCGGTTCATCGTTTGTGTCGTGTGCCTGTTGAGCATTGCAGGGCACTTCTCGACGCGCGATCATTGAGTTCGTGGGAAATTCATTTGTCAAGCTTTTTTACCTTGCCAATTTGACACAAATATACCAATATTATTTTGATGCTAACGTCGAATACTATTGCTAATTCAGCCGTAGATTGAGTACCATCAGCATCCACAATCGCCTTTAATTCGTCATTATCGACCATTGAAGTAATATGTACTTACGTACTAGAACAGCTATTTCAAACAAAAAATGTGCGCTACTCTGTGTTCGTGCGGTTGTTTTTTTTTATCATAGAATAAACATAGGTAGAGTGATCCGTAGGTAATAGTAGATTGTATTGTTAAATAGGTAAATTATATCGAGATCAATATTTAAATTTTGCCATTTATTTTGTATATTATATTTGCTTATATAATATAATATTACATACTATTGTATCATAATTACATTTTAATGATATTTTTATCAAAATATTTTAAAAGGTATCTATGTCTAATATAAAAAAACATACTAAATGTATGTTTAACAAAACGAATTAACATAACATTTAAATTACAAATATATTTATTTAAATTAGAATAAGAGTCGTTCATAAATGCTGGGCATGCGAGAGTTAAAAATATACGAATTTATTCCACTTTAACTTTGATGTAGAAACCTAAAAATAAAATAAAATAATAAGCAGATCTAAATATGAAAAATTTAGCCTAATTATAATAACTTATAGATATTTCTACAAAAATATGTGTATGTGAATACAGAAATGTCGCATCTGAACATATTCATTTCATAATCTATATTCCATGACACGAGATGGCGTCTTAGGAATAATTTGTTTTGTTATTAATATACTTTTTTATTGATTAAGTATCTTATTAATCGATGAAAAGTAATTCCTTGGTTTTTACTGATATTTCTTGAATTATTTGTGCAATATCTAAGTACACACGACGGCATATTTTTATCAAGAGATTTTTTTGAAATCAAGACAACACGTGACAACTCTACAAGTGCCTAGCGAGTGACTGATTAAAGTGCGGTGTATGCACCGCAGTTGAGTGGAACAGAGTAGCTGAATGCAGTGTCGCCTCTAGTACGTAGTACATAATAGCTCAATGTTATCGACCAAACTTTTCGGACTACCACGGGTTTCATTTTCAGGTTTCAAACCAATAACAGGTGGTGCGTTCGTTTGTAGTAATCGCTCCGTAAACGTAGACGTTGCGTGCCGCGTTGCTGCTACGATGGTAGGTACTCATATTCTATAATTACTCGAATTTTTACCGTAAACATGATGTCGAAAAAGATTCAAATGCGATGAAAACAATGCTAGTCAATAAACAATGACTAATTTTGAAAAAAATAAATCCTAATTTTTAAAATAAGATTAATTTGAAATTAGAATTTTGACTTAAAATGGCCAGTACTGCAGATTAACAATTTCATGGGTTCAAGAGCTATTATTTGCATTTTTTGTATATTAATCATACCTATAATTTTATCATATCGTCATTCTCAAGCCCTATAATCTATCTATTTATGTTCCGCTATAATGAAAGTTTAAATATTTTTGGAAAAGAATAAGGCAGTTATATATAACGAAGTTATTTAATTACAATATACTATAGTCATTATAAGAACCCCCATTTGGTAGCCGCTATGTCGTGATCAGGTAACACGGAAAATTATTATAACGGAAGAACGTAGATCTGCGTAGATGGTATAATAAAGTGAAGAAACTGTTATATCAGAACGTCAATTAATTTCATCCTCTCGTGACCTTGGAATATAATAATTAGGAGTAAAGTATACATTCCTTAGAAATGCACCCTTATTATAAATTATTAAATATACCCTTAGGATCATAGAATACTATAAGCAATTATAGTATTCAATGCTTAGGATTATACATTTTATTAAATTTAACGTTTAGGCTAACTGAAAACTAGAATTTTAATACGAAGAGAATGTCACAAGAAGTTTAAATTTAGTAGGTACGCCTTTGAGCGCAATAAGGCATTATATACATAGAATGATGTCGACAGTCCTAATAATCAAGTTAAAAAGAGGTTCTTTATTCGATGCATATTATGTTTTTAAATTATGTTTGTCAATCTTGGAAACGGCTAAAGTTAGATAAAGGATTTTTAAAATAGGTTAATACGTTAGGAAGAGTCCTATATGGTTTTGAATAATAAATTGCATCCCTAAGGAAAAATATCGGATGAAGATTTTAATGTAATTAACTATTTAGACTACAGTTTAGAATAACTTTATTACCGTATTTCGATTCGATGCTAATGGTGCGTTGTAAAATATCAATAACAGAAAAAGGCATGACCGGAGAGGACCACCAGTGCCAGTGTAAAATAGTAGCTTAATGCTGCAGCGCTTCGTATGTTGACTATAGAGTACCCCTTTCACTAGAAACGGGGGTCCTTAGGGGTGACAACTCATCTGTATTTTGATTCTTAATTAAGGATAAATGTAGATGTCGATGGGTCACAGCATCGTCGTACAGCATCGTTCGTAGCAATCGTCGTACAAAATAATGTTGACAGCCATTCTATTATGTATTATAGTATTCTATGGTTTTTGGTGTTTCCGGTTTTTGTCAGTTGTCAATTGTAGGTACGCATTAGTGGACATGATTAAAGAAGTGGCTCTGTAATCTAGAATAATATGAGTTTAAAAATTAAAAATTTAATTTTTAAATATACAATCAAAACATAAAAAAGTGTAGAGATTGTCTAATTTAAAACTGTACGCATTACCATTTTTTTTTTTGATTTTAACACTTTTATCATGTCAAATATAATAAAAATAATGAGATCTACTAAAACCACTGACCTCCATATGTACAGGTACACTTGACTGGCTATCCTAAAATAACGTTTGTGCCGATTTGAAGCGCTGTGATTGATTGTACCGGGAACTAAATTTGACATAATTTTCAAGTGTATTTTAAACCTTTGAATGAAAAAAATAGTGTGTGTTATGTAATTCAGTTATGTTTCACGTTAGTAATATAATAAAAACTATAATAGAGTAAATGGAGCTCTACACTCCATAGTGAAAAGTCAGAATGTCTCAAAAAAGGCACGTATGGCAATTCACAACGCTGTGTTAGTCCCTACTTTAACATATAGTAGTGAAAGTTGAGTGTGGCAGAAGAAGCACGAAAGTAGATAAACGCAGTAGAAATGCGGTCGTTAAGGAAAATGTTAGGGCTAAATCTAAGTGACAGTGTGAAAAAATGTGTGTTAAGAGAAGAGTGTGGTTCACAAGACGATGTTGTGTAAGAAAGGAATGCTCCGGTGATATGGTCATGTAAAAAGAATGAATGAGGAAAGAGTGACAAAGCAAATTTATGTAGCAGAAGTGAACGGCAGAGTCGGAAAGGGATGTCCTAGGTAAAAGTTTATCGCCCAAATTGGCAATATATTGAAAATGGGCTAAATTAAGACTACACCTTCGAACATGTATGCGTCAGGATCTTGCCAAATGGAAGTCTGTAATCTCTGCCTACTCCTCTGGATGACAGGCGCGAGTGTTTATGTTTATGTTTTTTTTTATTAACAATGATAATGTAAAATGTCTATGTTCAATAAAGAATTATTATATTATTATTAAATTCGTTACCAGAAAGGAAGTGCGATAACATTCCACGGGTTTACAGTTTATATTAAAAAATTAATACTATTTGCTAATATAGGCACTTAAAAATCTGTAACTTATTTCATTAAATGTCATTACTTGTATGTTTGGCTTTAAATTACATCTTTTTGATAAACAATAAAATTCCATAGCGTTAACTAGTTCCTTGTCGATAATACTTAGTGATGTTTTTCTACTTGTGAATTAACATCCGAAGCAAATTGACTACGACGTCAATAAGTATTCTTTAATGTAATTTAAAGTACATCAAATTCCAATGGTACCTAAAAATTTTGTTGAAATAGGTGTAAAATTTTGGTTAGGCTAAATGAATGCTTAACCATACATTCTTTTATTTTTTGTAGTAACCTGCTCCAGTTTTTCTGCTCATTGAACTTTTTAAACCGTACATACTCAATGCACCCCTAAACGAAACATGTTATGTATAGTTACGAAGAAAACCTTAGCAGACTAACGCAGAGTCGATTTTTGTTTTTTATTTTTTAATAACATTGGATGACAAACGAGCACAGAGTCCACCTGATGGTAAGTAGTTGCTGTGGCCTATTGACATCTACATTTACTAACGCAAACAATATTAAGAATCATACATACATATTAAGAATTAAGATGCAAATGCGTTGTCACCCCTGAGGACTAAAATGGAATGCCTCGATTCCAGTAACAAAGATCTCCAATTCTCTACACTCATTATACGAAACACAGTAGCATAACGCTGCCATTTTACGCTCGCGTTCTGTGAAACCGTGGTCCGGTCCCGCTCGAACCGACCCATTTGTGCTACTATAATATAGCTGCAGCGTGGCTCTACCACGTAACAATAAATTATTACAATAATTTATTTATGTATATGAGGTTTAAAGTTTATATATAAGACATAAGTATTAATTGAAATATTTTTTTATTGTGAGGCATAATATTAACATGATACATAAATAGAATAGTAAGCCAGGGTCTCAGAATAATTACTAGCATAGAGAGAGTCCTAACATACGGACTAAAGAACGAAATTCTGTAGCTGAAGTATACATATGATGTTTTGCATAGTACAAAATAAGATGGCTATATTATTCTCACCTTCTTTCTTTTACAAGGTTGTAGCCGTTTTGCCATTCCATAGACAGCTGTATTGATGTGCCATTAACGATACAAAAAACGTTGTCACTACTGACACGGTGCGCTCGAAACAGTGGACATTTATACCACGGTAATATTGTATAGATAAAATTACCGTGTTTATACTTGTCTCTTAACAGGCAATATTTATGATACTACCTTCATTCCGATTTATTAACCTTATTTTATTACATACTTATTAGCATTTTATAATCACATACACTACACTTACTATGGGTTTCACAAGGAATAGTAACTGTGTTTGATTAATCGACACTGAGTCTGTATCACGGAACGCACAGAACAGTAACAGAGGGCACTTCTACCAATTTTTTTTATAGAATAAGGGTGCCAATTGAGCACACAGTCCACCTGATGCACAAACGGCGAGCGCTAACCATCTGAGCTACCACAGCTCATCAATTAGAATTAGTAACGAACAATAAAAAAAACTTTATACCTTATTTGGGCCTTTTTAAATGTATTTAAAATACTTATTGATTATTATTATTAATATGTTTAATTTAATAGTAAGACCGTTATTTTATAAATTTTATAATATGATATTTTAGTAATTTTTGAAGCTTACATTTGACTGCGATTGCTTGATGTCTTTAGGAAGCTTATTATATAATTATGGCTTTGAAACAATAGGTTTCTTTTACCATGACTAGTTCTTGGAGCACGTAGAATGGGATCATTTGCATTTCTTAGCTGAATTTTTTGAATTTGTCTTTTTTTAGTGAAACTTAAATAAGTGTGGATATCTTTATTTATTATTTTACGAATCAGAATGCATGTATGATAAACGTATGATTGATTTATATTTAACAGCTTAGTATCATTATATATTTTATGAGTTGGTGTCAGATAGTTATAGTTGAATTGAACATTTATAACTTTATTTTCAGCTCTTTGTATTGGACTTGGCTTGTATTTGTATTGGGAAGTTATTCTTTACAGCTGAGCCCCATATTTCTATCAAATAATCGACGTGTGGTTTGACCAGAGAATTCTAAAAATTTAAAGAAACAAATATAAGTATAATTAATGAAATTAAATTATAATATTTACAATTATCTATATACTTTTTATCTTAAGATAATGTATTTTACGCGAGAAACACCGAGCTGACTTTGTCAAATGAAATAAATTAAAATATGAAATAAAACGGATATATTTATATTTATTTTAATTATATAGATTGATTTTATTTTTTTAAAGTATTAGTTACCCTTTTATAGAATTTTTAAAAAACCTAATATTCATAACAAACTTGCCAATTAGATGGTGTAAAAGGCTAAAATGTTAACAACAAGAAAATTCTATTCTTAGCAATATTTCTCGTAGGTAATGAAAGGTATCTGGTCATTTCAACTTTGATTGTATAACATATAACGTGAATATATTTTTGGACCTTTATTTTTAGTAATATCTTCCAAGCCGAACTTTGATCACGGACGTTAGTATCACCGGAGACTAGCCATATATATTTTATAGTTGTGTACACGAACGCCAACACACTTTGTTTCCTAATTCTGATATTTCGATGAGATGGCATTCCGAAACGAGATATATTTAGAAACTATATTTTCAATTTTGGTTGCTTACATTCTATTTGTTAAAAAAAATATGTAATTTTATTCATATATATTTTTCTGATCTAAGCAATGGGTGAAATTCGTTGGGAATGAAGACCTGACAGAGGTACTAATTAAAAAGTTTCACTTGTTAAAACATAATTGCGACAATCTTTGCAAATCCGAGAATTCAAACCCAACTAAAACAAACTGTTGTTCCATCAGTTGACTTAAAGCTTCCACAATTATGTGTATGTTAATTAGATTTCCTTTACATGTAGTAAAAGACGATATCTAAAGTCAAATTTTGGTAAGTTCAAGAAATAGCTATAATGAGCACTAATTTTGAAAGCGACTATTAGTAAACGATCTCTGCGAGTACTATGTACCATTGTTAAGAACCCTAGCGATTTGTACGTAGTAGTATATTTTAGAATTAAAAACAAATTAATTCAATCGGTGTTAAAGAAACCAATATTTTTAACTTAAAAAAACTTATGCTAAAAATAAGGATCCAGACGCAGACTATTTATTTTACAGCGTAGAGACACTTGTTAGATGCGGGAACCAATATCCGGCCATGTAGTGGTGCAGCCGAACGCTTATCCACTGCGCGACGGAGTCGTCATTTCTTTTTTACTTATTTAATCACTAGTATTGTGCGTTGCTTGTTTTATAATTATTTTTTCATATTTTTGCACCTAATAATTGTAGAGATATAATAACAAATCTGTGTGTATGTGTGTGTAAAATACATTGATTTCTTATCCTCATATGCATTTTTACTCAATACCCACGTAACAACTTTTATTTGTTATAAATCAATAAAGAGATCTAACTTTCATTATATTAAAATACCTATCGATAAACAATATATCGATATACATTATATGGATAAAATTATTCGAGGATAGACATTTACAGCACTTATATAAATCACCTACTTTGTCAGCACTGTTTTTCAAAAAAATTATGTCATGTCTTGATGTTGGTAGAGTAGTTTGGCGCCTTTTCATACATTTTCTGTTATTAAGGGAGTCCCGCCTCTTAAATGTTGTGATCATATTTCTTTAAAGTTATACAAAATTCACTCATTCCGTCAATTTGTCAGTAGGTATGTTGTTAGCACAATTTATTTTTAAAATTCTTTGGCGACAATCACTATTTTGTGCGATTGTCTTTGATTATTGGTAGGTATAAACGGATATTTTTTTCTTTCTGCACTCCTTTTTCATATTTTTAACTATACCAAATCTAACTCTTAGCCAGACATGTAATGCGCTTAAAAAGAGGTACAAAGTTTTCTCTTTACCTATTATTATATTAAAAATGATTCATACGTCAAGTACATACCGATAAACGTTGTTTGCTTGGCACAGTTAGTTCTTGAGCAGTTTCTGAATCTCTCGGATCTCTGGTACGAATGAGTTTTGTGAAAGTTATATGGGCATCTCGTCGCACTTGGACCCAGTCCACCTCCCGCAAGCGTTGCAGCAATCTGTAAAATAACTTCATTTAGTATAAAATAATTTGATACATATAACAGCAACTGATTAAGTACGTGGTTAAAAATAATTCTTTTTGGCTATAATCTATTAAACAGGAATAGAATTTTTTTTATTCAATATGGATTAAAAAACAATAGAATATGAAAAAAGGATTAAAGTTAGTTATTAAAGTAAGTAACTTAATTAGGGTACGTACTTAAAGCACTTAATTACGTACTTAGTACTAAAGTAATTTAAGTAACTTATTGAAATTCACATTTTTTAATTTACCACTGTTTCGGAAAAAAACCTCTGTCCTGGGAAGAACCAGCTAGAAACCCAGCGGGACTTTAGAAAAATAACAGCTTACAATTATTTTAATCTATGTATCACATTACATTCTGTGTTGAGATTGTTTCCTTTTTCAAAATCATAACCACGACGGTAAAATTCGTTTTTCATTTTGTGAGCATAACCATATTTAAGACCAGATTTAATTTTCGTTTTTACAATAAAAATAACAATCTAATGCCAAACATTCAGCTTTTTCTTCTAAGAAGTTATTTTTCATATTGTGCAGCCAGAGTTGGCTTATAGATTGATGAGTGCAGTACCTACAAGATATCTCAAACGTTTGACGTTAGGTGCTACCTGTCTTTTACTTGGCCATTTTACCTCTAGTATAATATACCAGATCGTACATAACTACCTTTTGAATCTTATGGTTCTATGACGAAATAAGGTGATGGAATTTTTGTCAATTTAGCTATATTTAGTTTTGTACAACTTCAGAAGTAGAGAAGATGTCGTAATATGATTATATGATCAGTGCCAAGATTTAAATTTACATCATAAATGAGATTGAAAGTTAAAACGAAATTTTACTGCCGCGGGGCTAATATTGTAACGAAATTCGTTACTTACCTCTGCATTATGGCGACGAAGGGTAGTTTAATGCTCTCGGACCTACATCGACGTCACCAACGATCTGTTAAAGATATAAATAGTTGCAAGTATTACCACAAAAAAGTAATATTTATTAAAAAATATAGTAATTTAAAAAAATCTGATGGTAGGTACAAAATATTTACAGCATTCTTTGAAGATGGATGCAGGTGTCTATGGTACCTATACGGTAGCCACTTATCATCAAGTGGACTGCCAGTTCGTTTTTCACTTCTTTCACTTTTATGACAAATTGTAACAAAATACGAAAGCTACCAACATTTTAGTATATTTTTCATTATGTTTATTTTTACCCGATGTGATTAAAACGAGAGGTTTCGGTATTCGACGCATATATTTTTAAGCGTGTTCGGCGATTTGGTGGAAACAGCTGAACCGATTCAAATGCTTCATCTTTTATTTAATAGGTTACCAGTGTTAAAAAAATTATACTAACTACTAATATGACATTCTTGTTACCTCTTGAAGTTGGTTTGTACTTTTTATCAAAAGTTAAATTATATTTTACTACTGTATAGATATGATATTGTTGACAAAATAAGTCCTAGAACTTTTTTGGTTATATGATTTTTTAAAAACAAAAGACATTATCATATTCTATAGCTTGTGTACCGTTCTCTTGTTGCAATACTTTGGTTCTTATGAAGCAGTTCAGTGAAAACAACATTAACTACTCTTACTTTCTACCCTCGTAGTTGTTGGGTGAATTAGTCATTAGATGAGTACATCTTGAAATATTAACCTAATTTTACTTATTTCATATCATATGCAAAAAAGGCAATGTAAACAAAAATAAATTATTAAAATATATTGATACTTTAAATGTACATAAAATTATCTTGTTTACATTGCCTTACATACAGTGTTGGCCACAGGAGAATAAAATAAGATATGATTTAAATTTATTAATGAATAATTTTTCATGTAACAATAACTTAAATTTGACATTTAATTGTAATAATTATACTAATAGCATTAATTTGCTATCATATTATTTATATATTAACTCAGCCAAGGAATTGGCTACCCAGACATCTGCTCCTATTGAGCAGCATAATGATTTGACATGTAATTTGGAATCCGTTCCAAGTAATTTAAATTAGAAAATGAGACAATAGAGGTAATCTCTAGCAGTTATAATAATTTTAATAATTTAGAATGTAGCTTACAAATCCTTAATAGTTGCAATTGTATAACTCCACATAATGATAATAAAAATTGTTTACACCTGGAGCAACAGAATATACAAGGCATGATAGGCAAAGAGCTAGAAATTGAATTGTTCTTAAATAGCAACAATATTCATATTTTATGTATTACTGAACATTGGTTAAAAACTCATAATTTAATGTTTAACTTCAGTAATCACCAGGTGGTCAGTTCTTTCAATAGAGAAACGGTTTTAAGAGGTGGCTCCTTAATTTTAGTTAGTAAATTATTATCATGTAAAGAACGTAAAGAGATATTGTGAGCCTCTCTGTTGAGCGAACTGTAGAAATAGCATGTGTTGAGTTTGAGCACCTCATTGTTGTGAGCGTTTACAGACCCCCATGTTCTTTATATGATACTTTTGAAAAAAAAATTGGAGGAAGTTTTTGCTAAGCTTAATAAACAGAATAAATCTGTTGTAATATGTGAAGACTTTAATATCAATCTACTAGAAGCTTCCTCCACCAATATTAAATTAAGATCATTGTTTAAATCTAATAGTATTTTTAATTTATTTTTGGAGCCAACGCGTATTGCTGAATCTAGTGCAACATGTATAGATAACATTTTTACAAATGTTAAGCTGTTCAATATATGTATTATTCAAAAATTGAGCTCTGATCACTGTGGACAATTAGTTTCGTTACCTTATGTTCACAAAAAGCAAGTAAATAAAAAAGTAGTGTTTGTTCCAGTAAATGCACGTCGCTTGGAGAAGTTTAGAAGTAACATAGTAAAAAAAACTTCCATCACTTTCATACCAAAATAATCCAGATTTTTTGTATGGAACATTATTTAAGCTTATTTGCAATGAATTTAATAATACTTTTACTTCTAAAACATTCTTCTTGAACAATCGCAAGGCATTTAATGAGTGAGCGACAGTAGGAGTCCATAAGAGTAGACAAAGGTTATATGAACTTTACAATGAAAGGTCATATAATCCTAGCGTCGAATTTAGGGAATATGTAAAAAAATATTCCAAAATATTTAAAAGAGTGTGCTCCATAGCCAAGTCATTGTATTTGATCAACAAAATAAAGACGGCTTCTAATAAAATTAAAATGACATGGAGTATAATTAATAGTGAAACTGGTAAGGTCAACTCTTGCAATTCAAACTACCAGTTAAGTTTTAACAATAAATTAACTAAATCAGATCAGGATGTTGCAATGGTTTTTGAGAAATATTTTACCGATATTCCGATCTTAACCACTAAGTCACTGAATTCTTCTCCTGCCATCGCCGAATCAGAACTTACTACTTAAACAAAATGTAAATGTGTGTACAAAGAATTTTACATTTCATAAAGTGTCATCAAAAGATATTGTAAAATATTTTAAGACTATTGATATTAAGAAAACCGCCGATCTGTGGGGGATTTCCTTTAAAGTTATTGCGTCTATAATAGATGCAATAGCACCTCAACTATCTATTATTTTTAATACTAGTATCAAATCTGGTGTGTTTCCTGATGTAATGAAGCATTGTAAAGTAATACCTTTATTTAAATCTGTTAGTACATTGGACCCCGCTAATTTTAGACCTATTTCTGTACTGTCAACACTTAGTAAAGTTTCCGAAAAAAATATTCTTGATCAAATGTTAAATTTTAATGTAAATAATTTACTTCATAAAAATCAATTTGGTTTCACAAGGGGTCGCTCGACAACTGGTGTAGAGCTGATTAAATATATATTTGATGCTTGGGAGAATTCACAGGATGCTTTGGGTGTATTCTGTGACATATCCAAAGCCTTCGATTGTGTTCACCATGAAATATTAATCAGGAAACTTCAACACTACGGTGTAAGAAGCGATGCTCTTAAATTAATTATTTCATATTTAAGTGACAGAACGCAAAAAGTTGTCATTAATAGTATGAGTTCTTCCGGATCGATTGTACAAATGGGCGTGCCTCAGGGCTCAATTCTCGGCCCTTTTCTATTTCGATATATTAACTTACCTTACATTGTAGGGGATAAAGATGATATAGTTTATTTGCTGATGATACTTCATTAATTTTCGAATTGAAACGACTGTTATTAAATTACGACGAAGTAAATAATGCTATAGCTAAGGTAGTCAATTGGTTTAATGTTAATAATTTGCATTTAAATGGAACTAAAACTAAATGTATGAAATTCGTAACTCCTAATGACAAACATGTTAATACGAATGTAATTTTAAATGGAGAAGAACTGAGTTTTGTTGATACCACCATTTTTCTTGGAATCACACTAGACGCAAATCTTCAATGGCTCCCCCATATATCAAAACTAGCTAGCAGACTTAGTTCTGCAGCATATGCTGTAAAAAAGATTAGAATTTCCATGGCATTATGTTGTATGGTATTTTGCTATGGGGACACGCGACTGACACTGAAATTATGTTTATTTTACAGAAGAGAGCCATTAGAGCAATATATAATTTAAAACCAAAAGAGTCACTGAGACAAAAAATTAAGGAAATTAATATATTAACTCTGCCTCTCAATATATTCATGAAAATGTAATGTACGTACACAAGAATAAACGTAGTTTTGCAAAAATAAGTGATATTCATTCTGTAAATACTAGGAACAGATACAAGCTAGTAGTACCAGTTACTCGACTCCACCGAGTCAGTAATTCATTCTTGGGGCGATGTATACGCTTTTACAACAAAATCCCAGAAAATATACAAAATTTGTCATACGCAAAGTTCAAAATTTTTATTAAACTAAGTTTGTTTAAAAAGGGTTTTTATAATATTAAAGAATTTATGGATGATAATAACCCCTGGGAAGGGTGATCGCTACCAAGCTATTTCTAATTTGTCTTGTGTTGTTAATTGTAAACATGATTGTAAGCTATTATTTGAAAAAAAAATAGTCCCGCTGGGTTTCTTGCTGGTTCTTCCCAGGACAGAGGTTTTTTTTGCGAACCAGTGGTAAAAGTCATTTTTTGACTTTCAATAAGTATTGTTTATAATCTACATTGAATAAAAAAGTTTCTGTTTCTGTTTCCGTTTCTGTTTCTGTATGTATGTTATGATCATCATTATTACCGGACAGTATTCTTGTCTAAGATCATTCTGTATTGGTACTATCTTCAGTATGCCCGCAGTTAAATATCAGTGAATTAATCGTTCTCTTTCTGTTCAAAGAGTATAATCAAAACCATAAAGAATAAGCCACTGGTATTGAGGGAACTTTATCTCAGTCGTCAGATGTGATATTGCATCTTTTGAAGACAGACAGATCTTTTTTTGAAAATTGAGACAGGTATTTGTGGGCATCAAAAGTACATCACAACTTCACGAATCAAGAATTTTAAAGCCCCATGGGAGTTATATGGTGTGTTAACTCTTCGTTCCTTATTCATTTACAAAGATTTGGTTTGGAATCGCAGGGGTTAATTATAAAGATATGGGTAACCAAATAGGATATGAGTTTGCGACAAAGTTAGTTTTCAGTGATATCTATGATTCCAATTCCAGCTCCAATTAAAAGTAGAGTTTTATCATCATGAATTAAAAACAACTTATATTATTTGTATTTTTAAGTTAATATTTTCGGTTCACATTCGATAGGATGATCAGAGAGCGTGATTTTGTAGTTCGAGTAATGTAATAAAAACATCAATATGTAGCTATCACGAGAATCCAACCTAAGCTAGGTTTCTCTCAAATACTAGCATTAATAATGCGAGATAAAATAATAAAAATGTTCTGCCTAAATGTATTCAGAATGCTAACCGAGTCGTTAATTTGAAAC